AGGCAGGTGGTCCCTATTAGACCTACCTGTCAGAAATATGGCATATGAGGAAGGACACTCCAAGGCAGGTAGTCCCTATTAGATTTACCTGTCAGAAATATGAGGAAGGACACTCCAAGGCAGGTGGTCCCTATTAGATTTACCTGTCAGACACATGCGGAAGGACACTCCAAGGCAGGTGGTCCCTATTAGACCTACCTGTCAGACACATGAGGAAGGACACTCCAAGGCAGGTGGTCCCTATTAGATTTACCTGTCAGGCAAATGGGGAAGGACACTCCAAGGCAGGTGGTCCCTATTAGACCTATAGTCAGACACATGAGGAAGGACACTCCAAGGCAGGTGGTCCCTATTAGATTTACCTGTCAGAAATATGAGGAAGGACACTCCAAGGCAGGTGGTCCCTATTAGACCTACCTGTCAGAAATATGAGGAAGGACACTCCAAGGCAGGTGGTCCCTATTATAGGTACCTGTCAGAAATATGAGGAAGGACACTCCAAGGCAGGTGGTCCCTATTAGACATTCCTGTCAGAAATATGAGGAAGGACACTCCAAGGCAGGTGGTCCCTATTAGATTTACCTGTCAGACAAACGAGGAAGGACACTCCAGGGCAGGTGGTCCCTATTAGATTTACCTGTCAGACACATGAGGAAGAACACTCCAAGGCAGGTGGTCCCTATTAGACCTACCTGTCAGACACATGAGGAAGGACACTCCAAGGCAGGTGGTCCCTATTAGACCTACCTGTCAGAAATATGAGGAAGGACACTCCAAGGCAGGTGGTCCCTATTAGATTTACCTGTCAGAAATATTAGGAAGGACACTTCAATGCAGGTGGTCCCTATTATATTTACCTGTCAGAAATATGAGGAAGGACACTCCAAGGCAGGTGGTCCCTATTAGATTTACCTGTCAGAAATATGAGGAAGGACACTCCAAGGCAGGTGGTCCCTATTAGATTTACCTGTCAGAAATATGAGGAAGGACACTCCAAGGCAGGTGGTCCCTATTAGACCTACCTGTCAGAAATATGAGGAAGGACACTCCAAGGCAGGTGGTCCCTATTAGATTTACCTGTCAGAAATATGAGGAAGGACACTCCAAGGCAGGTGGTCCCTATTAGACATTCCTGTCAGAAATATGAGGAAGGACACTCCAAGGCAGGTGGTCCCTATTAGATTTACCTGTCAGAAATATGAGGAAGGACACTCCAAGGCAGGTGGTCCCTATTAGATTTACCTGTCAGAAATATGAGGAAGGACACTCCAAGGCAGGTGGTCCCTATTAGACCTACCTGTCAGACATATGAGGAAGGACACTCCAAGGCAGGTGGTCCCTATTAGATTTACCTGTCAGAAATATGAGGAAGGACACTCCAAGGCAGGTGGTCCCTATTAGACCTATAGTCAGACACATGAGGAAGGACACTCCAAGGCAGGTGGTCCCTATTAGATTTACCTGTCAGAAATATGAGGAAGGACACTCCAAGGCAGGTGGTCCCTATTAGACCTACCTGTCAGAAATATGAGGAAGGACACTCCAAGGCAGGTGGTCCCTATTAGATTTACCTGTCAGACACATGAGGAAGGACACTCCAAGGCAGGTGGTCCCTATTAGATCTACCTGTCAGGCAAATGGGGAAGGACACTCCAAGGCAGGTGGTCCCTATTAGACCTACCTGTCAGACACATGAGGAAGGACACTCCAAGGCAGGTGGTCCCTATTAGATTTACCTGTCAGAAATATGAGAAAGGACACTCCAAGGCAGGTGGTCCCTATTAGATTTACCTGTCAGAAATATGAGGAAGGACACTCCAAGGCAGGTGGTCCCTATTAGATTTACCTGTCAGAAATATGAGGAAGGACACTCCAAGGCAGGTGGTCCCTATTAGATTTACCTGTCAGAAATATGAGGAAGGACACTCCAAGGCAGGTGGTCCCTATTAGATTTACCTGTCAGACACATGAGGAAGGACACTCCAAGGCAGGTGGTCCCTATTAGACCTACCTGTCAGACACATGAGGAAGGACACTCCAAGGCAGGTCCAAGGCAGGTGGTCCCTATTAGACCTACCTGTCAGACACATGAGGAAGGACACTCCAAGGCAGGTGGTCTCTATTAGATTTACCTGTCAGAAATATGAGGAAGGACACTCCAGGGCAGGTGGTCCCTATTAGACCTACCTGTTAGAAATATGAGGAAGGACACTCCAAGGCAGGTAGTCCCTATTAGATTTACCTGTCAGAAATATGAGGAAGGACACTCCAAGGCAGGTGGTCCCTATTAGATTTACCTGTCAGAAATATGAGGAAGGACACTCCAAGGCAGGTGGTCCCTATTAGACCTACCTGTCAGAAATATGAGGAAGGACACTCCAAGGCAGGTGGTCCCTATTAGATTTACCTGTCAGAAATATGAGGAAGGACACTCCAAGGCAGGTGGTCCCTATTAGATTTACCTGTCAGAAATATGAGGAAGGACACTCCAAGGCAGGTGGTCCCTATTAGATTTACCTGTCAGAACTATGAGGAAGGAGTGTCCCCGGCAGTTGGGCCCGCTCAGCCGTACAGTCAGAAATATGAGGAAGGACACTCCAAGGCAGGTGGTCCCTATTAGATTTACCTGTCAGAAATATGAGGAAGGACACTCCAAGGCAGGTGGTCCCTAGTAGACTTACCTGTCAGAAATATTTGGAAGGACACTTCAATGCAGGTGGTCCCTATAAGATTTACCTGTCAGGCACATGAGGAAGGACACTCCAAGACAGGTGGTCCCTATTAGACTTACCTGTCAGACACACGAGGAAGGACACTCCAAGGCAGTTGGTCCCTATTAGACCTACCTGTCAGAAATATGAGGAAGAACACTCCAAGGCAGGTGGTCCCTATTTGACCTACCTGTCAGAAATATGAGGAAGGACACTCCAAGGCAGGTGGTCCCTATTAGATTTACCTGTCAGAAATATGAGGAAGGACACTCCAAGGCAGGTGGTCCCTATTAGATTTACCTGTCAGACACATGAGGAAGGACACTCCAAGGCAGGTGGTCCCTATTAGACCTACCTGTCAGACACATGAGGAAGGACACTCCAAGGCAGGTGGTCCCTATTAGATTTACCTGTCAGGCAAATGGGGAAGGACACTCCAAGGCAGGTGGTCCCTATTAGACCTATACCTGTCAGACACATGAGGAAGGACACTCCAAGGCAGGTGGTCCCTATTAGATTTACCTGTCAGAAATATGAGGAAGGACACTCCAAGGCAGGTGGTCCCTATTAGATTTACCTGTCAGAAATATGAGGAAGGACACTCCAAGGCAGGTGGTCCCTATTAGATTTACCTGTCAGAAATATGAGGAAGGACACTCCAAGGCAGGTGGTCCCTATTAGATTTACCTGTCAGAAATATGAGGAAGGACACTCCAAGGCAGGTGGTCCCTATTAGATTTACCTGTCAGAAATATGAGGAAGGACACTCCAAGGCAGGTGGTCCCTATTAGATTTACCTGTCAGACACATGAGGAAGGACACTCCAAGGCAGGTGGTCCCTATTAGACCTACCTGTCAGACACATGAGGAAGGACACTCCAAGGCAGGTGGTCCCTATTAGATTTACCTGTCAGAAATATGAGGAAGGACACTCCAAGGCAGGTGGTCCCTATTAGATTTACCTGTCAGAAATATGAGGAAGGACACTCCAAGGCAGGTGGTCCCTATTAGATTTACCTGTCAGAAATATCAGGAAGGACACTCCAAGGAAGGTGGTCCCTATTAGATTTACCTGTCAGAAATATCAGGAAGGACACTCCAAGGAAGGTGGTCCCTATTAGATTTACCTGTCAGAAATATGAGGAAGGACACTCCAAGGGGGGTGGTCCCTATTAGATTTACCTGTCAGAAATATGAGGAAGGACACTCCAAGGCAGGTGGTCCCTATTAGATTTACCTGTCAGAAATATGAGGAAGGACACTCCAAGGCAGGTGGTCCCTATTAGATTTACCTGTCAGAAATATGAGGAAGGACACTCCAAGGCAGGTGGTCCCTATTAGATTTACCTGTCAGAAATATGAGGAAGGACACTCCAAGGCAGGTGGTCCCTATTAGATTTACCTGTCAGAAATATGAGGAAGGACACTCCAAGGCAGGTGGTCCCTATTAGATTTACCTGTCAGAAATATGAGGAAGGACACTCCAAGGCAGGTGGTCCCTATTATATTTACCTGTCAGAAATATGAGGAAGGACACTCCAAGGCAGGTGGTCCCTATTAGATTTACCTGTCAGAAATATGAGGAAGGACACTCCAAGGCAGGTGGTCCCTATTAGATTTACCTGTCAGAAATACCTGTCAGATTTACCTGTCACATGAGGAAGGACACTCCAAGGCAGGTGGTCCCTATTAGATTTACCTGTCAGACACATGCGGAAGGACACTCCAAGGCAGGTGGTCCCTATTAGATTTACCTGTCAGAAATATGAGGAAGGACACTCCAAGGCAGGTGGTCCCTATTAGACCTACCTGTCAGACACATGAGGAAGGACACTCCAAGGCAAGTGGTCGCTATTAGACCTATAGTCAGACACATGAGGAAGAACACTCCAAGGCAGGAGGTCTCTATTAGATTTTCCTGTCAGAAATACGAGGAAGGACACTCCATCCCTATTAGACCTACCTGTCAGACACATGAGGAAGGACACTCCAAGGCAAGTGGTCCCTATTAGACCTACCTGTCAGACACATGAGGAAGGACACTCCAAGGCAAGTGGTCCCTATTAGACCTATAGTCAGACACATGAGGAAGGACACTCCAAGGCAGGTGGTCTCTATTAGATTTACCTGTCAGAAATATGAGGAAGGACACTCCAAGGCAGGTGGTCCCTATTAGATTTACCTGTCAGAAATATGGGGAAGGACACTCCAAGGCAGGTGGTCCCTATTAGACCTACCTGTCAGAAATATTATGGACAGTCCAAGGCTGGTTTTCCCTAGTAGACTTACCTGTCATAAATATGAGGAAGGACACTCCAAGGCAGGTGGTTGCTAAAAGGAAGCCCATAAAGAAGGAATGTGTTTGTTGGACCCAGGTGATGACCGATAGGGCGAGGAGAGTACCAATGTTCACTGACCAGTAGTACCAGTTAAAAAATGTTGTGTGACCTTCACCTCTTGTCTGTGGAAAAAAAAATTATGATGTATTTTGGTGTTTTATCATGAAAACATACAGTTAAGTATTGACAGACACTGCAACAATTATCACAAATATTATAACTGTCCCGTTGGCAGACACAGGTACAGGTGAAAAAGTCTGAACAATTTATATTGTATGTTCTCTCTGGATTTATATGTGTAAACACTAACATTCAATAAATCTTCCTATATTTCACAAATTATTGACAAGCCTGAGATAGTAATACTGGGATAGTTATACTGGGAGATAAAGCTGCAGGAAAATTTATCTGATGATCAGGGGAGATAATTTGCCTACTTATTGGGGGAAGGATGTGATGGATGTGAGTGTTAGGAAAGAATGTGGTTGTCTCCAATAGCAATAGGGTATAAGGAAGGGTGTGATTGAGGAATAGGTGGGGAGGGGAAAGATAGGATAGAAAGGTTTGGAAGTCCTACTGTTAAGGTAAGAGAAGGAAAACTCTGCCTTGTTTATAAAGATCCTTTATTTCCAACAATGATGGGTTTATTCACCAATGCCTTTATAGTGCTCTCACAATAAAATTCAATTACTGAACAAAGCAATCCACTTAAACAAATTTAGTAACAGGTTTATATCTTTTTCTCTGTTAAGAGGAACATCAAATTGGAGCAGCCAATATCATTACTTCATTCAAGTAAATGTTGTATTTGTTTCTGTCAGGGAAGAGAATCTAATACCTATCTGCATGTGCAAGTAAGGCATGAGGGAAAAGTATGATACAATATAGTTGTAAGGAAAAGAAGTGATAATCATCTGTTATTAGTCACATACATCAAGCAATCATGCTGAAGGTACATCCTGTTAGGTACAACCTCTTGGGCAGGACATCTGGCCCCACTTGTATAAAACATCTCAACTTGAGATTTCTTCAAGTCAAGACTTTCCTCAGCTGATATCTCCTCAAAAGCGGCTTGTATAAAATGTTCTCAAGGAACAGGTGGAAGTCATCAGCTAGGATGTCCTGAAATTCCTTAAGGAATCTTCATACAAGATATTTTCAAGGAGATATTAGCTGAGGAAAATCTCAACTTGAGAAAATCTCAAGTTGAGATGTTTTACACAAGTGGGGCCTGGAGTAGGCCAGTAAATTTTATCACAATGAATTATTGTGTTTATAAACTGAATAGCATATAATTTGATTATTAGAACACATAAGGTTTCTATTGAAAGTTATTGTTGCCAGAGGAACAATGATACAAACCTGGTCTCCTCCAAATGGAGGCATGTTTGCTCGGAATATCCCTGTACCTACAGCAATGACAAATAATACGAGGTATGCAGTGAGTGAGCAAGGCTCCTCGAAAGGTGCTGGCATAGAATCAGCGTCTGTGCCATTTGTCGTTTTACTAATTGGCCAGCACACTGCAGAGAATGTTTGGTTGTCCCTGTTATCTGAGTTTTTATAGTCGTTGTAGGAGAGCACTGGAAGGAAAATATAACCTACACAGTAAATAATGAAAGACAACATTAAAGTCTTAAAACGTCCGAACAGTGCATCGCCCAGAAAACCACCGACAAAGGATGTCAGGAATGAGATTCCAGTGAAGAAATAGGAAACCAGCAAAGCGTTATAAGCCGTCCATTGATACGGGTCCAAATTAAAATACAAAACAAGGTTCCCAGTCAGACCATAAAACACACATCTCTCGAAAACTACTGTCAACAAGATCGCTGCTCTTCCAAGTTTAGATCGTCTGTCAGTTGTATCGTCAACTCCTGGACAAACGTTACTCCGAGACGTCGGAGCTTGAGTCCGCTGGAGAAGTCGCCGTCTTTCATCCATTTGTTTTTACTTTCGTTTTAAATGGCGAACAGATTTTCTCATGTGAAGTCGCGATCGGTCGCTGTGATAGATTCCATAAATACCTATACAGGTCATTCTCCTGAACAATACAATAGGTAACAGTTAAATAAGAATGTTATCGATCCTAAGTTCGTATCTCCACCTCAAACAAATCCGTATCAGTATCTGGAGAGATATCAATTCCGTTATCACCGCTACCCATCCGCCATATTGAAATGAAGTGGAAATCACATGATCTTGTCATGTCATGTGATGGTCCAATATTAGCACAATCATTCATGAATGCATCGTCTTATTGAAATTCATGTTTATGATAAAACCTCTTTTAAAAACACACTTTTCTTAATTAGTCTCGAACAGTAACTTTTATTTTATTCGTATTTAAAACAACATTCAACATGAAATGAGCCAAAACAGAATTGTAGCTTGTTATAATTACACATATGACCCCCATACACACCCATGCGCACAAAAAATCTGAAGAAAGGACTTGCAAACTTCTATCAAAGCGTATTTGTTAAAGAAGAAAAAGGAGAAATACCTGAACTAACGCACATTAAAACAAGCAGCAATATGAAAACACTTGTGATAACCAATGAAATGGTTACCAAGGTACTCAATAACTTAAATCCAAATAAATCACCAGGCTTAGATAACATGCATCCAGAATTCCTGAAGAAGACTCCACCATAGCGATACCACTAGCACTGATATTCAACCAAACTCTTCGAGAGGGATCCATTCCTGCTGATTGGAAGCATGCAAGAGTGTGTGCAATATTTAAGAGACAAGAGAACAAAAGGGAATTACAGACTTGTCAGTCTTACATCTGTGGTATGTAAAGTAATGGAAACAATCATTCGCGGGCATATAAATGACTTCATGAGATCACACAATCTTTTCTCTTCAAGGCAATATGGATTTATATCGGACCGTTCAACTTCAATTCAGTTGTTAGATGTACTGGATAAATGGCCAGAGGATATAGATAAAGGTCATGGAATTGATTGCATATATATGGATTATCAGAAAGCTTTTGACAGAGTACCACACAGAAGATTATTAAGTAAAATTAGATCATACAATATTTCGGAACCAATTGTCAGATGGATAGACAGTTTTTTTTTTTGAATGGGAGAAAACAGCATGTAAGAATAAATGACAAACAGTCTGAATGGAATGACGTATCATCTGCTATTCCCCAGGGATCAGTCCTAGGCCCCTTGCTGTTTGTCATTTTCCAGATTTACCAGATATTGTAAAATCAGATATGTATCTATTTGTAGACGATACAAAAAAATTCAGGGTAATCAAGAGAGAAGAAGACAAAGTAATACTTCAAGAAGATCTAAATACCATGGGAGAATGGAGTTAGAAATGGCTACTAAAATTACACCCGGATAAATGCAAACATATGTCGGTCGGACAAAATACTGCACAGATAGATGGAACAGGAGCAAAGTACCGATTACTGGGGAATAGTCTAACAGTCACTGATAAGGAAAAGGACATTGGAGTAATGGTAGATTCTGAACTTTCTTAGACTAGCCGTCATCAGAACAGCGGTACAAGTATCGGCATAGCTAAGCTTAAAATTACGTTTCAGCCGTGACGTAATAACGCATTGTCTTGATCACGTGATGATAACAATACAGTTCGTTACAATATATAAAGTAAAGAAACAAAGGTAGCATAGTTTATGTAAAATACAAAAGTGGTACAGCAATGCTGTTTATAAAGTAATTGAAATGTTTGAGTTATGTATACACATATAGGTAGCTGTATGTAAACCATCCACAGATGGTCAAAGGGGAGGTAACTTCGATAACTGTATTACATGATTGCTTCCCTTGTTTACTGTAACTCTCATGTGTTAGGAGGAGGAAAAGGAAGAAGAGTTGAAGAGGATGGTTGTATTATGACAATTTATGTATATTCCCGCTCACTACCCAGAGCCTAATTCCTGACATCTGTAACGGTTTTCAAATGTAAATTGGAAGTTCTAAAGGTATCATTGATGCTTTGAGACCAGCTAGACTAGACGTCATTGGATGGCAGTGTCAATAAATATTGATGATGAAAAGTAAATGTTAATTAAAAAACAGTTCATCCATGTCATGCTATGGTAAAGTATACCAACGTTCTTTTGGTTTGCCTACTACACTGGCTACAAGTCCGAAAGTGTGTGACATTTACTTTAATCTGGAATAGCTGAGCTGATATCTGCATTGCTGGAAGCTCTCGTTCTCTTCCGAGTGGGTTGGAAGGGAATCCATTCTGGTTCTTTTCGTAGGATATGTTTCTATTTCAATACACAGTATCTAGAACAGGTTGGTAATGTTCGTTGTTGAAGGATCGGCCATATAGTATATTGGTTAGTACCTATCGTCTATGGAGCTCTGCTAGAAACCTTCGGATCCACTTAGGACTCTTCTACCGATACATCTATCAACTAGTACCACTCACAGGACGTTGGACTCCTCCACCTCTTTTTATTTAACCACATTAATATAATTTTTGAGTCTGGTGAAGAGGAACACTGTGTGTTCCTGTACCGGAAACACTACTATACTATACTATACTAAAGGAGATATATTGCTTTTGCTGCGTTTTTTATAGGGTACGTAAGTCACGTCACATGATCTGCGAGATTTTACGAGATTTTTGCACTTCCGTGTACAACAATACCATAACAACAACAATGGCACTTTCGATTTCGTACTTGGCCAACTATGTGAATGACCAGAGTAAACTCGGAAAAGCGAAGCATCTGTCGAAAGTGGCAGCTTGCTTCATTTCGTAATAGATGAGATGCGAGTGGTATCAGCATACGTGCAAGCATCAATGAAAGACGTCTCATACAGTGTTCAGGTGAGTTGGTAATATTTTTTTCAAATTGACGATTTATGCTGTTTTGTTTAGAGTTTGCAAAAACTATATATCCGATAAGTATTGGTGTTTTATGTAACTTCTTTCACATCTGACTTAGAATTCAGACTGGCAGATGTGATTTCTTTATCGCCTTCTGGAACTCTAAACAGGAATATATTCACCGATACATGTTATTAGGTTATTAATCTGCTGATCAGTACTACATGCACATATACAGTAGTTCCTGTAGGCAGAAAAACATATTTATATCGGTTCAATAGTAATTGGTCAGTGTGTTTTGACAAATATTTTTCATCACCAGTTTTTTTTTTTTTTTTTTGACACATAGAACTTTTAATAAAAACTGTATAACCAGTTTTAATGTTTATAATTAGTTCAATATTTCCCCTTGTAGATCTTCCTTGATGATGAAGACAATGGTGCAGTTAAGGCAACATCATGTCAATGCCCGATGGGGAAATATAAATGCCATCATGTAGCAGCTGCATTGTGGTATGGGTAAGCATATGCTTAGAAGAATAGATAAGTTAATAAAGACTAGGTAAATTCAGTGTGTGACAATAATGTTGATAATTGTTACAGTTCTTGGTTACAAGCTAAAGAACACAAGGACCACTGGGTGGGTTCTCACAGCAATTTTATTTCCCATGATGGGTAATAGAAACAAAACCCTGCAAGGTAAAACACAAAAAGACTATAACCTCTTGCTCTCCGACACAAACATGTATATACTATAGACCTGTAGATCTTTTCACAAAAAAATCTTACGATTTGTCGTAAGAGTTAAAGTTACGATTATCGTAAGTGAAATCGTAAGTCCGTTTCACGAAAGTGATCCTAAGTGAAAATATATTCGTACGACAAATCTTACGATTTTTGTTTACGAGCGCACTTACGATTTGACTTACAAGGAAAAAGCTTCCCTGACAACGACCTAATTGCAGCCTGTGCAGTCGCAACACGCGTTTGCGGTTTCACTTTCGTCTTCATCTCTCGTCTGCTAAAAACAATGGCTTCGAATTCGACAGACATACAGAAGAGGAAGCCAAATTGGAGTTCGGAGGAAATCGAGGCGTTAGCTAATGCAGCAGCCATCAACATTAGGATAGTGAAGGGGAAATTTTCCCCGGCATTGACCAACACTATGAAAACCAAATGCTGGCTAGATATCACATCATGGCAAGTGACTGCATTTTGACAGCTAATTGTCCGAAATGACGTGTGGCGGTAGAGTTCAGTTGACAATCTTATTCTGATGTTAAGATATATGTAGGGCAGAAACCAATGGAGTCCGATACTTTGAGCTACCCTGCGTTTAATGTACATTGCAGGCACAGGATTCATTACACTGTAGTGATTCAACCTAAATCATTACAGGACTAACGTTAGCATAATGTGGCCGACTTAGGCAAAATTGACCTACATTGTATCTAGCAAAAAAGTACAGAAATACTTCATAAGGCTAAGACCCATCCCCATTATTTTTAATTACTTATACAGTCGTGTACATTCAATGTATGTTGATACATTTGTGAATAACATTTTTTTTTTTCCACCAAACTAAAGAGAAGGAGATGTTGAAAAATCAACCATTACAAGGAAGATTAAGAGTTTTTAGGGATATCACTTTTTATCTGGAATCAATTTTTTTTTTTTATTCATTTTTTGGGTATAATCTGTTACGTACATACAATGCAGGTCCCAAGAAGTCATTTTATTTACAATTTTATGCTAAATTTAAGATAAGTTTGACTTCTGTTAAGTATGCTATTAAGGTTTCTACAGTTATTCTAGGAAACAAAAATGGGGGGCTGGGGGGCAGAGTCCCCAATATTAAATTTTTTTTAAAAAAGACGACCTATATAACAGATGCGTTCCCATTTTTTTTCTCAATTTATTTATCTTTAAGAAATATTAAAATTGATTATGATCCTGAAAATGTAGATTTATTTTGTAACATTTACAGTTTGTAATATTTTGGAGTTATGTTTAAATATTGATGTACTGTTTCCTGTTTCAGAGTTAATGCCACAAACAGTTCTCAGACAACCAGAGACGTCACAGAAGTGAAAAAAAATGGCAGGATCTCTGCAGTTTAACTAAAAAAAAAGAGGCGCAGAGAGTGCGTGACAGACAAGCCACTGGTGGTGGACCGGCTTTATATGAAGATGATGCAAAGCCATGGGAGAAACTTGTGGGTAAATTTGTCTGTTCGACTTAAGTAACCATTGACAAACATGACTTTATTAATATTAAAAACCTACATGTAATATTACAACCCAGT